CTGAGTCACCCCATCCATTTCCTTAGCTTTAATTGCTGACAACTCCCAAATCTGTTCTCCCAGCAAAGACCTCATTCTCCAGCTCCAGATGGTTCCAGGCATCTCAAAGTCAGCACGTACAAAATCGAACTCTTTTCCCTCTTTCATTCTTTGTGGGATAAAAGGAAAAGAAAACTGTAGAAAAGTTTTGGAAATCATTGTGAAGAAAAATTCTCAGAAATGAAGCCAGGGCAATGTCATTAAGCTTTCAGTATCATCATGAGGGACCGGTTTTGTATTTTCATCTTGAAATGAATACCAGTAAAACCCCTCTAATGGTGTGTTCTCATACTGGATAAATAGTGGATTACCAAGATATATGTGGAGCTACAGTGTAAACAAAGCCTATTTTGAAAGACAGTTTGTGTGTGTTGTGTGTGTTGCGTGTAATATATAACATATAACTCATAAGAACTAAAATGTTATTTTTATATTGAACAGACACATTGTGTAGAAGAATGCAAAATCTCAGGAAAGTTTAAACTCCTTTCCTCAAAATGTAAGCGCACAGACCATTTGTAAGATGAAAGCATCTTGGACTGAAGCACTAAGTTTATGCTGAGGAGTCAGAGGACAGCTGCACTGTGCCCATGCATTAAGAGCGTACAGAAGGGAGCTTCAGGGTGCAGACATTACCCAGGGTGAACAGTGGGGAATCAGCTTTGCAGGAAGTTCTTTTTTTCTGATGAAGTAGGAGGAAACAGGGGAAGGGAGGCGTTATTAAGGAGAAACTCTAGATCCAAGTTGAAGAAGTCTGTAAAACACATCGACTCACTCAATAGACACTTGATGTCAACTTTGTCTCATGTTCTTTACTGGGTGGCGGGAGAAATGAATTAGATGTGTTTTCTGCCCTTGAGGAACTCACTATTTAGTGATGGATTCTAAATAATAGAATTATTCAGTCACTATGATAAAAGTTGTACAGTGTGAAATTGGACCACTGGAAAATAAAGTTAAGGAAATAATTCTGTTTGTAGTACTATCAGGGTTAGAGATGTTGTTCAGGGCTAGTGCATTTGCCTAGTATGTGAAAGAGCCTGGGTCCAATCCCCAGCCTAAAATACACAGGAATAAATATAATTAAGGATATAAAAGATATGTAATTAAAACCTAGCACTGATAAAAGACATTGAAAATGGCATTGAGAAGTGTTCATGGACTGAAAGAATTAAAATTATTGAACTTTGAGTGCAATCCCAATCAGAATACCAATGGCTTTTTTTTTTTACAGAAATAGAAAAATGGAGATACATTTTATAATCACAAAAAGATGCCATATAGCCAAAATAATGTCAGAAAGAAAAATCTAGAGGCATCATCGTCCCAGGCTATATTACAAAGCTATAGCAACTAAATAGTGGTGTGTTGGCATAGTAACAGAGATATAAGCCCATGGCCCAGGATAGAGAGCCCAGAAATAAATGCATGTATGTATAGGTTTTTTTTTTGAACAAATTTTTGTCAAATTTGCTAGGAGTGTACAATGGGGAAAGGAAAGTCTCTTCAATAAATGTTGTTGGGAAACCATATATCCTCAAGGCTAAGAAAAAAAAAAATCAGAACCGTTGTTTTATACCAGACTCAAAATCAACTAACTTGGTTTTGTCATCCCCCACCCTTCTGTTGTGAGGAATGAAAACTGGGAACTCATACTTGTTAGACACATGCTCACCCCTGTGCTAAATTCTGAGCCCTACACAAAATTAGCAGAAAATGTATTAAAGGTAAATGAAAGTCCCAGAAGGACGAGGGCCCTAGAAGAAAACACAAGGATAAACTTCTCCATATTGACCTTGCTAATAAATTTTGGCCGAAACATCAAAGAATAGAAAAAAAAATAAGTCAGCTGGATGATATTGAACCAAAAGGTTTCTAAATATAAAAAGAGCAATCACAACATGAAAAGGTAGCCTGCTGGAGGCAGAGGATATTTGCCATCCATGTACCTGATAAGGGACTAAATTTTAAAATTAAGGGACCTCACATAACAAACAAAACAAAATAGCTTGACTAAAACAAGGGCAGAAGTCATTTTCAAGGACAAGCAAATAGTCAAGAAGCATATAAAAAATTGTTAAACATCACTAATCTAGCTGGGTGTGGGGAAGTACATATATAATCTCAGCACTCACTCTGGGGGCTAGCCTGGGCTACACAGAGAGCTCTTGTCTCAGCAACAGTATCATCACTGGTCATCAGTCTGACACCTTGAGTTTGATCGCCCAAACCCACAGAAAGATGGAAGGAAAGAATTGACTCCACAAAGTTGCCTCTGACCTCTACATGTGTGTCATGGCACATGCATATACATCTCTCACACACGCCAATGACATTAAATGAGCAAACAAAAAGATGACCGTATGCTAGCCCTCTTACCTCTGTACTCCAGTGTCCTCCTTTCAGTTAGTACTTCTAAAAATGGGGAAGGGGGACAATGTAAAATTATGTAGAAACTTCTGGAAAGTCTTTGCTCTCATGGGAGGAATCACTATATGCTAGCAAAATGTATTACTGTATTTTAGAGTATTGCTCAGGGATTTTGAGGTATATTATTTTAATTAAAATTATCTTAATTAAAACAAAAAAGTCAAAACAAGGGCAAAAGAATAGGCTGTGACTGTCAGTGCCTAAGGGGTAGAGGAAATGGGGTGGCCTTAATCTCTTCTTTCTTTTTCTTTTTTTGGTTCTGGCATTTGAACTCAGGACTTCTTGAATGCTAAGTACACATTACCACAGAGCTCCACCCTATTCCTGGATCCAAACTTTGAGTTTGAGGATAAGTCAGTTCCAGATCTAATATACAGTATGGGCGGTGGTCCATGTGGTTAAAAGATCAAGTGAAGAGTTTGGACCACTGTAATAATGTTGAGCTTTGCTTGAGGAATTTAGAGACTATATCGTAAAAGAAGCATCATTTCCATGTTTGCTAGTGCAGAAACGTATAGGTGTTTTCTGTCTGTGGCTTGGTTAAAAATATTCCAGGAAATTAGAACATGGAACGTGTGGGAAATTAATTAGACATATGTTTACATTCTTGACAATCACCACCAGCATTTAAGTCCCTGGAGAGGAAGGAAACGTTTTTTTCTTTTTAAATAGTCAACAGTGTAGTTTAGCATCTCCACACAAAGAACAGTTGTTTTGTAAACCTCAGATTAGAATATGGTGGGGTTGAGATGTGGCTGGACCTGGCTGTAGCACAACTGTCAATGTAATGTCTGGACTTTATCCAGCAAAGGCACTGAAAGGCTGAGTCCAGTAAAGGCAGGTTGTAATTCATTACTAGTTTGTAAAAGGGAACTGGGATCAGCATTGCGTGTGTGCACAAGTGTGTGGAGCCCAAAAGTCAACTTCAGATTTTTTTGAGACAGGATTTCTTCCTTAGCCTAGAATTTATGCTTTGCTTGGCTGGCTGGCCAGCGAGCTTCTACAATCTGCATGTCTGTGCTCAGCACCTCCGGCACTGGGATAACAGGGTATACCATAACACTTGGCTCCCCCCGCCCCTTCAAAAAAATTTCTATCACTGGTACGTGTGCCAAGGCATGTGTGGGTAGTGCTGTGGGAGTCAGTTTTCTATTATATGGGTTCTAGGGATCAAATTGAGGTTATCAGGCTGGCAGCAAGCACCTTTACCCAGTAACCTGTCTTCCTGGCTTTTTGTGGTTTGTGATCTAAACTGGGGCTCATGCTTGAAAGGTGGGCACTTTAGCCACCGAATCTTTGCCCCAACCCCGGAAGCAGTGCTGTTAGAAAGTGGTACATATTTGTAAAAGATAATGTCTTGTGGGGATATGTAACTATCTTTCTTTTTCAAACAGAAATCTTTTTATTCTATGGGCACTGGTGCTTTGCCTTCATTTATATCTGTGTGAGGGTATCAGATCTGGAACTGAACTTATGGCTGAGAGCTGCCATGTGTGTACTGGGAACTGAACTCAGGTCCTCTGGAAGAGCAGTCAGTGCTCCTAACTGCCAAGCCATGTCTTCAGCCCCTATCTAATTTATATACATTCTTGACCACTGTGTTCTGATGCAAATGTTTTTTTTTTCATCTGAGTCCTAGTAAAACTTTTTTTGGGGGGGGGGGTAAGAACACTATTTTAGTGGTACAAAGCTTGGTGTTTTAGATTGCTTTTGGTAGCAATTAAAAGAAACTCCAGTCTCAAATGGCAATAATCAACAAAAAATTAATTATAACTAGGATTACAGTTTGGGAGCACTTTGTTTTTAATCTGCCATTCTCAGTCTTGTCTTCAGCCTAATGCCCAGCACTACAGGGAACTGTAATTCAATGTGGTAGTTTCAGTGCATGGCAGGAACACTGCAGACGTATCTGTTTGACAAATGAATTTAGGATTGGGGTGGTCAGAGCCACCTGAACACTTGTGTACAGATTTGTAGGTAAAAGTGGAGTCTCTGGGTGGTAGGGACCAAAAAGTGAAGAGAGACTTTGCCAGGGAAACCACCCAAAGGTCTGCATGATATCAGAGGCACCAGGTAGGTTGAACAGCAAGCAGATGACTGGTCAGTAGGCAGAATAAGGAATCTGGTTCTGTCCCATAGAAAATGTGCTACCAGAGACCCACCAGGTCACTAAAATGATCAGGGTCCCATCACTACAGCCGTATGTCTGGGGCTTCCCATGAGAGAAGCCTTGTGAAAGGAGATAAAGTAGGACATGACTCTACTGAAGATACAGGGAAATGGTTACCGGCTTAAAAAAAACACAGGTTGGGTTCATAGTGCTAATGCATAATGCACTGCCTGGCCCATTAGTTTCAGCCTCTTTACCCATTTCTAATAATCTATGTAGCACCATGAGGTGCGCTTACCAGGAAAGATTCAGCATGTCTGACCTGGCTTAAGCCAAATCTTGAAGTTAGCAGCAGGTGAATTGTGACAGGGCTCGCAACGACTTTCAACCCCCAGAAATATGTTCATTTGGAGCCTTAATATTTCCCTAAACTTTTTATACTTTATTGGGGAGGGGAAATGCATTATCACACTGCAGATGGAGACCAGACAACAGCTTTCCCAAGTGAGTTATTCCAGCCTGCGGTTCCTAAGTATCAAAGTCAGAACATCACTTAATGGCAACTGCCTTTACCTGCTGAGCCATCTCTGTCCCCTTCACACATACTTACTAAGTGTCTTCCAGTCCCCAGCATCACCTTACACACTAGAGTATGCAGGCTTGAGAATGTTTGCAATAAATCTGGCCCCAGCCAAATATGAAGTATCTACCATCAAGGAGCTCATAATGGTATGGGACACTGAATCCTTAATAATCTGGCCCCCCCAAAAATTTGAAAGAGTCTCTATGTTGAGTTCCAGTTCTTTAAGGTAATGTGCCTCACCCACTTAAAAAAAAAAAAAAAACAAAACTTTTTATACTTTATTGGGGAGGGGAAATGCATTATCACACTGCAGATGGAGACCAGACAACAGCTTTCCCAAGTGAGTTATTCCAGCCTGCGGTTCCTAAGTATCAAAGTCAGAACATCACTTAATGGCAACTGCCTTTACCTGCTGAGCCATCTCTGTCCCCTTCACACATACTTACTAAGTGTCTTCCAGTCCCCAGCATCACCTTACACACTAGAGTATGCAGGCTTGAGAATATTTGCAATAAATCTGGCCCCAGCCAGCTGCAAGGGAAACAGCGCCAGAACAGCTCCTCACTGAGCTGCGTCCTTCTGCGTCAGCAGTGACCCTCCACCTTCTTTCTACCTCAGGCGCTGACCAAGTGCTCAGGTCAGGAGACCTTCAGGATCTTCCCGAGACTCCCCAGTCAAGTTCTGCGTCTACAGAATGGCAGCCAGGATGGATTATATCCATAGTACTCAGTGGATATAAACAAGTTCTGTTTCTCCCATGACCCAGCTATTCTGAAACCGGATTTCCTCTTTCTGGGTTCCCACAGAGGTTCACTTCTGACAACAAAAGCTTCCAGGAAATCCCCAGCAGGCTTAAACTTTCTAATGCTTCACTCTCCATCACCTTCCTCTTCACACCCTCTACCAAGAGGAAGGAACTTATCCTCTGAAGGTCAACATCCTGTCAGCTGCCTACACCCCTATCTATGTGCAGGGTGGCGGTACATCTATTTCAGTCTACATTCAAGACCCATTCAGAGGTTGAGGGAAACACATCAATGGAACGTGTGACCTCGACAAAAAACAATGCTTGGGGTATCCCCCTTCCGTTTTAGGGGTACCAGGTTATTTAAAGCTTCCCTTACAGAGGTCTCACTGCTACTTATCAGGAAGCAATCTCTCACAGTAGGCTGTCAAAATACTGTCAATGAGGGGGAAGAGACTCAGGCGGCTTCCCCCTTCCTGTACATCTATAGGCTACTAAGGGAGGGAACTTTCCTTCAGCAGAATAGCCATTGGTAAGATACCCACGCTCCTGTAAGCAGGCCTAATGAAACTCACTGGAACACACACACATGAAAGTGGAAGGGGGACTAGGTGAAGAGGAACAAGACAGAATGACGGTGTGTGTGTGTGTGTGTGGTAAGACCAAAATACACCATAACTTAGAGCATAAAAACCAAACAAAAGGCGCTAGGCTGGAGAGATGGTTCAGTGGTTAAGGGCATTGGTTGCTCTTCCAGAGGTACTGAGTTCAATTCCCAGAAACCACCTGGTTGCTCACAACCAACTCTAATGGGGTCTGATATCTGATGCCCTCTTCTGGAATGGAAGCATGCATGCAGATACTCATACCCCAAACAAAAAAGAGAAATCCCAAGGGGTGGGTCTCTAAACTGGGTATCAACCATAGTCATCACAGGAGCTAGTTTGGAATCAAGTGATACAGGGCCCATTGAAATAAGTGTTAAGATAAGCAAACCAAGTCAGGCACTGGTGGCACATGCCTTTAATCCCAGCAATTACAACACAGAGGCAGGCCAATCTGATCTACAGAATGAGTTTCAGGATAGCCAGGTCCACACAGAGCAAACCCTGTCTCAGAAGAATAAAAAGATAAGCAAATGGCCCTGTGTGGTGGTGGCACTCGAAGGCCCAGCACTGGGGAGGCAGGGACAGGACTGCTGTATGCTGGATGCAGCCTGGACATCAAGACTCTCCTTCCCCACCAAAAGGCAAAGCAAAACTGGACCCAAGATTCAGAAACACAAGCTGTAAATTTACTATCTTAGGTGGCTGAGCATCTGGATGCCTCTCACTTTCCAGAAATCCTAGGACAAGAAAATCAATCTCATATTTTCACATCAAAAATTTATCTACTGTGCAGAGAGGACGATGACCAGCAAGGTCAGGGGCCCATACCACCGTTCTACTTGACAAAGCTACTTCCGTTTCTCACACACCACAAGAGCTCCACGGTCTGTGAACACATTTATGAGAGCTGCGCACTCTCCAGTCCCGGTTAAGTCTCTGGTGTTTGAACTGTGTGGGAGCTGTGGAGGCTTGCTTCCCGGTTATGGCGCAGGTCCTGCTGCAGTCCCAGTAGCAGCTGGTTTAGGAGAGTAAGGTTGCTGTCTCTCTTTCGCAAAGGCAGGGGTGGGAGGCAGTTCCCTTTATATTCAATCACTGCCATCTTGGCCCGATCTTGCTCCTTCCGATTTGGGATCTGCAGCATTCTGGTGTAGCTCCCATTCTGACCTTGGAACCTAGGCGCTAGTACTTTAAACAGCTTTGGGATCAAGTCCTTCTCCTAGATAGGGAAAATTAATCAAAAGGAAACAGTCACAACTGCAGAGGCAATCTAACTTTCAATTATTCCCAGAGGTAGGGTTCAAACCATTTTCACAGGCTTTCCCCACCACCCAATCATCTACCAAGTTACACAGAACCATTTACAGGTAGTTGTGTGGATGCACATTGTCTTCCAGTTGAAATAAGGGAGACAGACATTCGTCTAAGGTAGCTCATGACACTAGTACATAAGCGAACAGCTTGGCTTAAATCTGCCCGGCACCCGGTCCTCTAAGGATTCCTTCCCCAGCAGTAGGCAGGGAACACTCACAGTGAGCCAGAAATCAGCCATGCGCATGGCTCGCTCGTTGGTGTCTCCCAGCTTCGCATAGTCGATGAGCTGTTGAGAACAAAACATCACCGATACAACACGTCCAAGACCCGAGTCACCCACCTCAGTCCAACCATCCCACTAGCTAAGCTAATTCAGGACGCTCCTAACTCCGCAACCCTAAGCAGCCTTCACCTGCAGCGCGACAGGAAGGTGCTCAGTTGGGTGCCACGGGATTCACTTCCGTGGAGACAGCTGCCAGCCTCGCCCTACTCCCCACACACGGCCAGCGCGGTCCTCTGGGGCTGGACCCGGCTCTCACCTTCTCCGCGTAGCCTCTCATCTCGTCCACGCGTGCCCATGACGCCTCGATGCGTTCGTGGCGCACCAGGCCCGTGAGCAAGTTCCGCAACAGGTGGATGCGAGACTCGGGGCCGAGGCCCAAGCGGCGGTAGACGCGGCCATGGGAGATAGCGGCTGCGAGCGACAGCCTCATGCTGCCACCTTAGCCCCACCTCTCAGGGGGCCGGAAGGGGAAAACGACGGCGGCGAAGGAGGCGGAGCCAACTTTCAGAGGACGCCTGCGCAGTAGCTCGGCGCGTGGCGGGCGTGTTTGCGCGTGCGCATCTGAGTCTGCCTAGCTGGCAGTCTGCGCGAGGGAGGAGCAGGCGTGCTGACGATTTTAGGGCGGCAAGCTGGGCGGGCCTCAGGGTCGGCTCGGTGGCGAGCCGGGGACCTCGGCGCCCTCTGGCGGGTTTCTCTGGGGCTGCGTCAGCCGATAGGCCGTTCCGGGCGGAGCATTCTGGGAAAGTGAGTATCTGAGGAGAACTGCGTCTGAGGGGTGGGGCCTCGCTGGGTTGCACCCCTCTTGCCTGAGGCGTTGCTGGTTTGCTGGCTTTCGGAGAATGGCCTTCCTGAGGAGTTGCTAGTTTGCTGGCTTTCTGAGAATGTTACTTTAAAACCCAGTTTTCATTAGTGAAAGTCGCAAGTATTTCACATTTGATTGACGTAAATAAAAATTTAAGTTAGCTATTTAGTACTAAAAGCTAAATTAATGGATAAATACTTAAAATTTAAAAAATTTATTCTTCTCTCATTCAATACATCCTGACCACAGTTTCCCCTCCCTCCACTCTTCCCAGACCCCAAACATCCTCTCCCCTAATCCCCCCCCTCCACAAAGTTCTCCTAGGAACATCAAACACTGCACAAGAAGGTACAGTAAGATGAGGCTCAAACCCTCAAACCCACATCAAGGCTGGGTGAGGCAACCCAGTAGGAGGAAAAGGATCTCAAGACCAGTCAAGAGTCAGGAACAGCCCCCACTCTCCCTGTCAGCACCTCCCTGCCAAGAAAAAAGATCACCAGTCCAACAGGTCATTTACATATATGTGCAGGATCTAGAGTCGACCCATACTATGATTGCTGCTTCAGTCTGTGAGCCCCTATGAGTCTTATTTAGTTGATTCTGGCCTTGCTCTCCCGGGGTTCCAGAAGCTCCAAGGGGAGGGGCCAATGGAGTCTTACTGGGTTCTCTGTCTGCCTAATGTTTGCCGGTGGGTCTCTGCATCTGCTCTCATCAGTTGCCAGAGGCAGCCTCTGTGATGATGACTAGATTAGTCACTGATCTATGAATACAGCAGAATATCATTAGGAATCTTTTCATCGACCCTCCCCCCCATGTTATATTTGGTTCTACCTCAGGTCTCTGGGCAGGTAAATGCTTTTACTTGACAAAATTATTTTCTCTCTGTGTGTATTCTCTCCCATATGCCATGCTAACTCAACATCCTTCCTGCTCTCTGGAAACGGGTTTATGGGAGGAATTGGGTGAAAACACAGTCTAGCTCTAATGTCTAACAAAATAATGATCTTATTAGGGGTTATTTAAAATGAATGTGTTGCAGTTGGAGTTACTAGAAAACTGAGGGCAGCAGTAACAAATAAAACAATACATTTTCAATGGAAAGAAGTAAAATTTAAGATTGTTTGATTTTAGAAAAATAAGTTTCTGGTCATACACAATATGAAGTTGAGGTGGCCTAGAGCTAAAGAGGGACCGGTGTTTGATGGGATCACCATAACCCCTCACATGGTGTTTCACTTTGGAAACACTGACAAGCCGTTTCTAATTTGGCTTGCACTTCATGGTGTTCTGTCCCCTCCCTGTTTCATTTCCCTGTATTATTAGTGAGGTGAACTGCCTGTTGCTGAAACTGTAAGGTCATTCAAGGTCAGAAAGGAACGGATTCACGCATGTGGTCTTCTTTCTCTTGCCTCCACCATCAAGCCAGTATTCTGTTTTTCTCTTTCTCTCTTAAACATTACTGTTTTTTTTAAAAAACACATTATTTTAAAATTTCTTTGGCGAGCTGGGCGGTGGTGGCGCACACCTTTAATCCCAGCACTTGGGAAGTAAAGGCAGGTGGATCTCTGAGTTCGAGATCACCCTGGTCTACAGAGTGAGTTCCAGGACAGGCTCCAAAACTACAGAGAAACCCTTTCTCAAAAAAACAAAAACAAAAACAAAAATTTCTTTGGTGTCCCTTGATAATTTCATCTTTACTTAGAAGAATTATCTTTTCATTTTTCATTTGAAAGAAAATATCTTATTTAGCTAGGCTTATTGTTATCTTTCATCATACCTCAATATCAAATATTTCATTGTTGTGCCTTTATGTGGTACATGACCTTTCACTGCTGGGTCTAAATTATTAACCAGGGCTCTTAGGTCTATTTCCAATTCCAAAGTGTCGCCGATTGAACTGTTTGTAAACTCTCTGATTTGCTTTCAATCCTTTCTTTCACCCTTGCTGATGTATTTCTTCACCACTGGAAAGTGGGTTTTTCCTTTATTCCCTACTGACCCATTTTAGAAATCTTTGAGTCAGACAGATAACCTTTTAAAATTAAGAGTGTGTATGCGTGTTGTTTTGAAGGCAGGCTCTCATATGTCATGGTATGGATGTGGATGTAGGAGGACGAAGTTCCAGAGTCTGTTCTGTTCTTCCACCGTGGAATCTGATTCGTCAGACTTGCAGGGCAAGCACCTTTATCTTTTGAGCTATCTCACTGCCTTGCAAATTGGCCAACAGACACACCAGAAAAGATAATAAATTCTGTTTGTTTCTTTTGAGACAAGGTCTTTCCACTCTGGAATCCAGGTTGCTCCAAGATTCACTCTGGAATCCAGATTTGTCTCAAACTTGAGACATTGAATTGGCAATCCTTCTACCTCTGCCTACAGAGTACGGGATTGCAGACAGAACTACTTTGCCTAAGAAGCTATGACTGATTATCCAGTCCAAGGATCTAGGCATAATTTATACATATGCCCAACTTTAGTGAAGGATAGTAGTTTTTAAAGTATCTGTGACATTTTTTTCTAGGTTGGAAACAACCCAAATGCTAATTATTGGTAAAATCAATACAAAACATCAACATATAGATCATATAATGGAAAATTATATATCAATGCAGATGAACTAGTGCAGACCTCATATAATAACATGGTTAAACACAAACATAATATACAGTAAAGGAAGTCAAGTACAAAGGACGATACTGTATTATTCAATTGCCTGTTTAAAACCAGATCTGATATATGGTGTTAAATTCCAAAGGACAAGTTATTAGAAGAGAGCATGGGATAAGAACCTGGAGGTACTGGTCATGCTTTACAGCTTGGCGTGGATGGTCCTGGAGTGTGTGACTTGTCACAAACTCACTGAATGGCGCATGTAGAGTTTGCATATTACTTTCACTATATTTTAGTTACAAATATAAAAGAAAATATCTATACCCTTTGTAGTCTCTGACCCATAAAGGTTATTCTCTGAGTATGATATTATTAATAAGGATCTTTAAAGATGTCTATAACTATGTTACATGCTATTATTGGCCTGTCATAACAGAGCTGACTCAGCTATATGATGATGTCCTAGTTAGAGTTACTATTTCTGTGATGAAACACCCAAAGCAACATGGAGAGGAAAGGGTTTAGTTAAGCCTACCCTTCCAGGTAACAAGTCTATCACTGAGGAAAGTCAGGAGCTGATGCAGAGGCACTGGGGGGAGGGGTGTGTGCTGCTTCCTGGCTTGCTTCTGGTGACTTTCTCAGCCTGCTGTCTTATAGAACTCAGTATCACTAGCCCAGGGATGGCCCCACCCACTATGGACTGGGTCCTTCCCTGTCAATCACTAATAAAGAGAATGCTATACAGCAAGATATTATGGAGGCATTTTCTCAGTTGAGGTTCCCTCCTTTCAGATAACTCTAGCTTGTGTCAAGTTGACATAAAACTAGCCAGCACAAGTGGTATGGACAGATGGACCCATTTGTAGAATGAGGGATGTAGCAATAAACTTGGGATCCTGCCGCCAGTATAATCCTTTCTGTAGTGACTGAGCTACCATGCAATCAATTCAGAAAGGTGTCCTGCAGGATACTTAGATGGCAAAAGAGCTGTGGCCTAGTGTCCAGCAGATGGCGCTCTGACAACGTAAGAGGATTGCGGAAGATTTGTGCCTCTTCAGGCCAGGGGATTGCATAGATCACATTCTCTCTAAGTCCCAAAGACAGGAGCAGGGAAAGGGTGAGTCTGAGTGAACAAACATTATTTTATCGAATAGAAACTTAATCCATTCATAAATATATACACCAAGCTGTCAGACTGAATTAAATTTAAGCTAGATTGAACAGCTAATGTTTTTTTCTCTTGTTAATCAGTACACGGGGACTTGGGCCAGACACCAGATTATAGAATAGAGAGAGAAAAATGTTCTTGTCATGATTTCAACTGTAGTTCAAAATTGCCCTTCTTCAAAGCTATTGAGATTCCTTCCCTTCCCTTCCCTCCCTCCCTCCCTTCTTCCTTCCTTCCTTCCTTCCTTCCTTCCTTCCTTCCTAGGTTTTTAGAAGATGAAAGGATCAGAGAGTGCACACCAATTATTCTTTCCCTCGCCCTCTCTCCTCTCTTATCTCTGTTTCCTGATTTGTCTTTGAGTTTTGCAAAGTTGGAGGGATTTGAATTTGTATCAATAGCTTTTTTAAGCTTATGTAATTGTCCCTCTTCCTTGAAGAGAATGAATGGTCTTTAGGTTGGAGGGCTTCTAATAAAGACCCCCATTAAGTATGATATGTACCAAAGGTCCATTAAATACAGGATTCTGTAGTAGATACAGGGTACATGAAGAAGAAAAATCCAGCCTTGTGCTGTACACTGGGAATAAGAGAAATAGGGACAGACTGTTATGACTATCTTTGCAGAAAAAGTTGCTGAGTCTGACTTTAATACTACTTTTACCTCTAGACTCATATTCTACGACATCCCTGATAGTATAAGCTATTATTTCTTTATCTTTTGCCAACATTTCCATCTTGCATTTAAATGACCTAACCATATTTTCATCTGTTTTCTATGTTCTTGCTATGTATCATCTGTATACATCGCTTGGAAAAGATCTATGTTTAAGTCACATTGTAAAGTGCTGAGTCATGGCCAATCTATGCATTTATAGGCAGTGTGTTTGATGTGAAA